ATGTGAGTGTGGGTATATGATTTTTAAATAATCAAGAAATTCTCAAATGGAACTTATTGCGAAGGCACCAAAATGGTGTTCTCTCTAGTGATTACGTGCTAACATTTTGTAGTTGACCTTCCCAAATACCGCAGTTTACCCTGTTAAGAACGACAGACAAAGCCCAAAGGTCTGTTTTTGGCTTCCTTCCTTTGCTGTATAAGCACTACACTTTCACCAGTTTATCGCTGGGGGACTTTTCCCCCTTTCTTTTGTCTTTTGTTTTGAAGGAACCTTCGCATTTCCTGGACAGGCCAACAGTATTTCCTTTGTGTTTTTGAACATTTTCGTTTAAACAGCTCTACTATTATTCCGATGAACTAAAATGAGAATGTAGCCTGCTTATCTGAGGCTTTATGCAATTGGATAAACTGAATACCCACAAGAGCCCTAAATGGTTTAAGCTGAGGCCTTAAGAGCTGTTCTTACAAACTTGTTCATTTGCTGAAACCTCAGCGTAGGATTATACTTCAAGAGAGGTTTGTTCCTTCAGCGTTTGGAAAGGACTTTGCTAGTTAAAGAGGATGCGATTAAAGGAAGCTGAACAACACTAGAAATATCTACAACAGTTGTTCCAACGTCAGGATTAAGAAAAGCTACATCAACGAGATCTGCATGTATGGCAAGGCACATTTGATACATCCGGCCCATGGATCAAATGCCCACCTTCTTTTATTCTTGGGTAGACTCTACATTTGCAAAAGGTCATAGAAAATGGGAAGAATTCAGGTATCACACAAACACAGACACTCCATAGTGCATTTATTGACTATGTTCTGTACAGGCATATAATAGCAAGGTATAAACCTTTTCTTCTTTTACCTTTTTTCAGTTGTGTAGAACATATTTACACTGGAGGAAAAGACAGCCAACTTGAGATACAAACACCCTGCCTCTCCTTCAAAGAATATCTGAGGTATAAATACAAGTATATCTTAAATAATTATCTCCATGCTTTATCTGTGTTGACAATAAAGTGTGAACAAGTTTACATCAGAATGGTATGTACAACATACATTTTTTTTACATATTTAAAGAAATAAAAAGCATACAAAGAATACACAATTCACCTATTGATGAGAACTGTAAAAAGGGCACAATACCTAAAACCTTCACACCCTGGCAACACATTTTACAATGACATCAGTGGAATGATTGCCAGGCTTTTTAGCTAGGAATAAGGCTGTCTTTTTTCACCTGTTGTCCTCCAGATGCAAATGACAATTGAAGGGCTTAAGATCAAGGAAGAATGCCTTACATACAGTCTAAAGCAGGGGTCCCCAACGCCCAGGCCCTGGGCTATTTGGAACTGGGGCGCATGAGGGGTGGGCCAGCACGCACATGTCCACGCACAGCTCGACTTGCCCAAGCAGTGGGCTAGCACGAGTGCAGGCCTGTGCGCAGCTCAGCTTGAGCAAGTCGAGCTGCGCACCGGCCTGCCGCTCATGCAAGTCAAGTTGTGCGTGCGTGCCGGCCTGCCGCTCACATGGCCCGATTTCCCTCCCTGCCCCCTCAGCTGGGCCGCCAAGCTGCAAAGGTTGGGGACCACTGGTCTAAAAGTAACACTTTACATGTTTGAAGCACAAGACATTTAGGAAAGCAGTTACAGGTAATCCTCAACTTACATCTGGTGGCTTAGCGATTATCCGAAGCCCCCCCAAAGATACTTAAGACCCGGTTCTGAAGTTCCAATGGCTACCCCTGGTCACGTGACTGCATTTGGGCAGTCGGCAACCGGTCCACGTTTATGGCTGTTTGCAGTGTCCCACAGTCATGTGACTGTAATTTACGACTTTTCCTGGAAACAGGAATTGACTTCCAGTTCCCTGGAAAATAGGCCCGCAGAGAACAATGGATTCGCTTAATGACTGCAGCATCTGCATCCCGTCACTTGCGATTTACAACTGTAATTGCCAGGCTCAAACTATATTTGTAAGTCAAGGACTATCTGTAATGGGAAGATACGATCTAGAACAGCTCCTGCTTCTTCTCCATTCTCTCTCCCGCCCCCCCCCCCATTTCCCTGAAACAATCAGTACCAGTCTGTTTTTGATTCTGGTGATGGTGCTCCTTGTAAGTATAATTTCTTTGTTTGAACAGAGAAGCACTTTTGTCCCAAGAGGAAGATCATGAAGGACACCGTCTTCTGAAACAGATTCAAGGAAGCATCCTAACCAACTTACCACGTAGTCCCTCTCTTGACATAACACTGGTTATAGATTGAACACAGAGGGAAAATAGAGATGCAGGCAAGGTGGCATTAGTACAGGTGCAGAATTAGGAAGAACCCAATTCTCTCAAAAGTCATCTCAAACACTCTATGAAAATAACAACAACAATAATAATAATACTGACAATGGTATCTAAGAGCTTCTTCTAAATATGCCACGGTCCCAAGGCTGGGAAAGAAGACCAGATGGAAATTGCACAGGTCTCTTCTGAATGAACAAAGTACGCCAACTGCCAATTTCACATAATCTTTGGTCACAACATACCTCTTGGCAGTAATTTACAGCTATAAGGAGGGGTAAAAGACTGGTTTTAGTTATTCAAATGTATCTATACAAGGATTTTATTCCAAATATACAGATAAATCACCTTTCATTTTATTTCATAGGATTCACACCTGAATCGTGCACCTTGTAAATCAAAGTGTAATTTTTTATAGTGGGGCACCATAGCAGATCTGGAAAGGGGCCAGGGCTGGATTCACAGCCTGCTTTTGGGCCAGGTTGACCCTTGAATTACATAACAGCAGTGTTATTTAACAGCATGGATTACAATGATTTTTCTGTTCTTCACATCAGCCAATGCACTGAAATAAAGTACATATATTCTGAAGCAAGAAGGAAGGACAATATTTATCTTCCCTGTGCTTTGTTGTTTTTACAGTAAAATCTATCACAGAAACAGTGTCATCCTCTAAAGGCTTTTAAAAAGATTCCTTATTAATAAAGGCTCATCAAGATGTGCAGAAAATGTTGACAAATATTACGTGCAAAATAATAATTTTGACTCCTCTCCACCCCCCAAAACATTGGGCAGTTAATCTATAGTTTTAAAGACAAGTAAAATGACAACATCCTACGTGTATCTTCCTATTTTCATTTATTATTGCTATCACCGCTGCTCTAGCTTATACTACTGGGATGTCCTATAGAAAGTTCATAATAGAACTTTCGATAATTTTAACCTGTTTATTTCAACCTGCAGCTCTTTGCATTATGTCATACAATTTTGTGGCACGAATATTCACTTTTTTACCTAACTACATTGCTTCTAAATTTGGAGGATATTTTCCTCCAAACCATGTCGATAAATGAGGTTATATGGTCACAATGGAATGGGTTATATGAATATGTTTAACTCCTAGGAGTATCTGCTATGCTGAAACACTTTAGAACTTTATAATGTTCCAGTTATGGTATTTTTCAGTGTTGCCCTTTTCGGCTACGGAAAGCAGTTTCGGCCCTGTCCTCAAACTGCAAGCATTTATTCCTATGTTAATTTAAACAAAGATGTTGTTTAGGCTTCCATTTGTATCTTAACAGGTGAATGGATACTAAAAGAATGGGTTGTAGGAAAAGTGATTTGGGGATCATGTTAGCACACATGAAGCACTGGCACAGCCTGCTGCAACTGTGGGCAACCAAAAGCACTAAGAATAAACACAGATTAGGTGCTGTATGAATGTCATTCCACACCCCAAACCATCTCTTGGATTCCTATATATCAGGTTCAATGTGCAGTTTTTTTCTGAGACATTCAGATTTGGAGAGACTTTCTGGAGCTGCCACTTCATTCACAATTTTCTTGAAATGCTCCTTACAGATTGCTAATAAAGTATTCCAAATAATATAAAGTCTGACCATGGGCAAACAGGTGACCGATGTTCTCTTGAAAAAGCTGAGAGCTTTCAAATAGGAGCCCTTAACAAAATTATTGCCATACAAAAGACACACACTGAAATATATCTGGCATTTTTAAATAAGTTTCAAGTGTTCTGCTTTTTGACCATTCTTTGCCCCGGCTCAGGGGTAGGCAACCTTGCCTCTTTTATGACTCGTGGACTTCAACTCCCATAATTCCTGAGCCAGCCATGCTGAGGGGAAAGGGAGAGGTTTCCAAGCTGAGCCATGCTGGCTCAGGAATTCTGGGAGTTGAAGTCCACGAGTCATAAAAGAGGCAAGGTTGTCTACCCATGCTCTGGCTGATGTAGCCCACACTTTTCAATTTTTAGATACACATGCGAGTAATAAGAACTCAGAGGAATGAAGACTTGAAGCTTGCAATGGTCTCTTGGACCAATCGGATTCTAGGCCGATTCTCCCCGCACCTGCTAAATTCTTCCCAATGCCTTCCAAGTGTACCAGACACTCTGATTCTACCATTCTGGCTCCTCATACTCCAGTCAACAAGTTAAGACAATCATTCACGCCTCTGCCTTCGTGCAAACCTTCCTTCACTTACTATTGTGAGAATCCACTGAGGAACACACCAAATCCAGTGGCTGCAACAGTCCCTCAACACATGACATACAGATACATACACAAAGCTAACATAATATAGGAATGAATAATTTTCACTATATTTCGGAAATATATTTTTAAGTCTTAGAGCTTTGCTTCTCAGAAGCAATTCACAGCACCTAAGCAACATTAATCTTACCTTTAAAAAAAAGTTGCACCATCCAAAAATGTTCCAGTTAAGACCTACACTATAGGCCTAACACAGACAAAAAAGCAGCTTTAAAAACGCTAGGGACTGTCACATAATTTTGATCGACAATCTCAGACCCATTCCAGAAAGTTTCTCCTCAGGACCTAATGGACATATGATCCGTCCTAAGGCCTTTCCTGAAAACCTCTACATAGGCTGGTACTGTGCTGGTCCACTTGGTCCATCACCTGGACGTTGCTTCCTTGGCCTCAAGATTTTGATTAAGGAAAGAGTCTCTAATCCTCACAACCTCAGCTGCACATAAGTGTCCAAATGCTTTTGTGTACCAGTCAGGCTTGTGTCCCCTGTTTCAAAAAAAGAAAAGGTGTGATTTAAATTGCTTTTCTCCCCAAAATTTTTTTCCTATTAGTAAACAAGTATGGAATAGAAGCAATCAAAGAGATAATAAGTCCATAAGGCTGCCTCAAGGAATGATGGCCTTTTAGAATTATATACAGTATATTTTCCCCAAAATCTCCACTTAGGATCCCAAAGAGATATTTCAAGGCCTTGGAAAGCAGAATTTGCAAATATTTTGGTAGGCAAAACCATCTTTCGGTAGGCAAATCATTTGAGTTGATTTGAAAACCTGTTGTGGGCACTCAGGCAAAAAGGTTGCTGTGGTAAGCAGGCAAACAAATAAATTGCAAATAAAAGAAGGCAACAAGCAAGGTTGCTCCTTTCCATCTGCTCTTGTTCCCAAGAAATCTGGAACATCTACAAAACAATCTCTGGGCTGTCTCTGGCCCCAAATGCATTCTCCAAAAACAGAAGCATGGTTTCTGTCGTTTAAACATACACAAAGCATTTAGTTTTATTCAAAGATTCTAAAAAAAAAAATAAAGTCAGGTAATAAGGAAAATTTCTTTGGAACCCTTAGTATCAATGCCAATCAGTAATCAAAAATAAGCAATTCCAATTAGTTTGAATTGGCTTTTCTACACGGAGAAGGCAAACAAATGCCCTTCAGCACTGGGGATCTTTTATTTTACACAGTCCCTTGCCAATGACCACGCTAGAAGATCATGATTATTCACGATACCTGGAGGCCACAACTGCTTGCACTGTCTTACAATATACAGCATCTAGCTTTGGGCACTGTAACTTTTCATTCCCCAAACATGTTATACTAGAGATAGAATTTCCCTGCCCAGCCTAATGAAAATAGAGGACATAATTTACCTTAAATCAATTCGACACATATAGGTGACTTTGGATTTTCCTGTCCCACAAGGTTCAATAAGATACCTGGACAACAGCACATTCACTCTAATACCAAGGACAGGCGCCCGGTCGTGGTCCACTGAGAAACTTAAGAGGGCGCATGCTCCTTTAGAGAGATTGGTTCTCCAAGTCCTGTTGGAATCAAGCACAACTTCTGTAAGAATGGATGAGAATGTAAGGAAGATGAGCAAGTTTATCCAAAGGTGTTTCTATTCCCAGCTGCTAAATGTTAAGAAAGTGTTTTATGGATACAGCCTGTACAGTTACCTGAGGATAACATGGTCTCTTGCTGGGTGTGGAGCCATATTGTTTTGTACAAACTGATAAACATCCGTCTGGCTATCCAAAGTCTCAATTACTTTAGCATCTAAAAGGTCTTCATCCCAAAGATGCTGTTCTTTAACAATACGGTTTAATACTTCTTCGGGAGTTGCAGGGATTTCAACCACGGATTTCCATAGCCGTAGAGGTGGACCGTCACAAACCTACAAGTACATTGTTGCTAAAGAGTTAATCATGTTTATGCAACAGTCCTTTTCTTGAATCATCATTACCGAATAAATGGAAGCACGCTGATTCAAAATAAAAGATCAAGACACTTCTGACAGTGCTATATCACAATGAAAATTTTTGGTCAGCCACTTTGGCAGAGAACACAGTGTAGAGGGTTTAAAGTAAGAAGGGATATAAATCACCTCCAGTGATTTATTAAAAAGCTGAGTAAAGACGGGGGCCAGTTGTTCAGCATAAAGCTTTCCATCGAGAAGGAATCACTCTATCTGGCACTGGAGCTTTTCTGATCTTTTGCCTAAAAAATACACCTTGCAGAACTTTTTATAGGATTATCAGTGGTGGAAGGCTTGGAGGGGTTGAGATAGGTATAGGACAGTGATGGTGAACCTTTTGGAGACCGAATGCCCAAACTGCAACCCAAAACCCACTTATGCATCGTCGGGTGCTGGGTGGGCGTGGCTAATTGGGTGGGCCTGGCTGCGGTGGTAATGGCAGACTGGGTGGGACTAAAAAGTTCAATCAATCAATTCCAACTTTGCGAGATCTTTTTTTTCCCTGCGAGAAGTTGAAATTGACTGATCGATTGAACCTTTTTTTTTTTGTACACGGTGGTGGAGGCCTAAAGCGAAAAGGTTTTATAAAACCCAGCTGAAGGCCTAGGACTGGGGCAACGGCGCACGTGGCCACAGAGAGGGCTCTGAGTGCCGCCTCTGGCACCTGTGCCATAGGTTCGCCACCACTGGTATAGGAGAATTGTCTAGTGTTGATGTATTGGATTACTTTATATATGTAATATTTAAGCCAGTGGTTGACTCATGACAACCCCAAATCAAAATGTTAAGATTTGCTACAACCTTCATTTTTCATTCAGTTCTTCTAATGAAGAATGATAGGAAGGTCTTAAATAAAACATGCCATGTTTTAGAATACATGCACTATACAAACATCCATAAAGTATCTAAGTTTACAGAAAGACAATGGATGAGATTGAAGGAATAGCGACCATTTAAATTACATTTTGTCTGTTAAAATTTACACACAAACACTAGAAATATGCCAACATAACTGTACCTTTTTATAGGCAAGTTCTGCCGGTTCTGGGGTTGGACAACTGACCCAGCCCTTAAATTTATCCTTTATTTCCTTGAAAAAATCATCCATACAGTCCTGGATATAAGAATGATAACTGGCAGACTCCGAGTTGTTAGTTCGTCCCAAGTCGTCAAAGCTGAGGGGTCTAAGATCTTGTTCTGTATAAGAATTCCGACATCTGCTCATTTCTTCTGGGATCTAAGATTTAGGAAATGAATAAAACAGGGAGTAAATAATTGGAGATTCCCATGATGAGCCAACATTTGATTTTGTTCTGAAGGCAACTGTAAATAACATTGCAGCATTTTGTCGACCGCAGGACCATATCTGATCTCCCCAGAAATATCATGTAGTTCTTCCCTCATTGAAGGGCATGCACACAAACACAATCCCACACACAGAGACGTACACAGATACACACACACAGAATTAGAAGTCACAAAGTATTTTTTAAGATAATTGTCCATTGTAAGCCCTTATGTTGCTTTCCAGAAAGGATAGCTGCCAGAAAGAACATTAGGTATCAAGAACAAAGATACAACCTCTACAGAACACTAGTTCAGGTTGTTAAAATGAGCAAATAGACAAATATTCACCTGAAAAAGCTTCTTGCACTCAGCAATCATGTGGCCTAAGCCTTGAGTTGCAGCCAAATTCTCATTTAAGTCTTTCTGATCCGGTTTTCCCAGACTCTGTTTCCTCTGCATTACCCTATCAATTAACGAACAAGACTAATCAATAAAAGTAGATTAAGAATGCACTACTTGGTCTGATCTGTAAATGAATAATTAAAGCAAAAGGTAAGGACTGCATCCAAAACTTATTTTTATATCTGATTTTCTGCATCCAAGTCAGTGGTTCTCAACCTGTGGGTCGGGACCCCATTTGGGGTCGATCGACCATTTCATGAGGGTCGCCAAGCAAGGCTGTCCGCCATTTTTTTCCCCTTTTCCGGCGGGTGCCTTACCTCCTTTGGGCTGGGCCAGCTGGTGGTCGGCCTGCTCTGTCTCTGCCGCTTGCCAGCTACGCCTCGGCCGGCGCAGGGGGCGGAACCACGCATGCGTGGCGCTCCCGGGCAGGGAAAGCCCTCGACTTACGACCGGTTGGGTAGTCCTCGACTTACGACCGGTTTAGTCCTCGACTTACAACCGGTTTAGTCCTCGACTTACAACCGGTTTAGTCCTCGACTTACGACCGGTTGGGTCGCGGCATTAAAAAGGTTGAGAACCACTGATCTAAGTGTATTTATTTTCAGCTTCCCCCTTCTACTTGTCATGGATGGTATAATTGATGGAAATGACCCTGGTCAATGTTCTTATAATCCATATCTATATGTATTGAAATAGAAGTAAGCCCCATTGATCTCCTTTGCAATCTTATTCTGAAACTAAAAACCACCTACAAGGGGAAGCATCATGCAGGACAATGAGACTTTCTTCAAGTCTTTATTCATCTGACTGTATTGTTAATTATTTTTATATAAGATTAAGATGGTTCACGAGCCAAAAACAACCTCTTTAGTCAGTCTTCTATTTTTGAAATATCAATGTAGACTGGATAACCATTTGACTGGGATATGGCATAAGGCTCCTGTCTTGAACAGAGGGTTAGACTAGACAGTGTTTCTCAACCTTGACAATTTTAAGGCATGTGGACTTCAACTCCCAGAATTCCACAGCCAGCATTGCTGGCTGTGGAATTCTGGGAGTTGAAGTCCACATGCCTTAAAATTGTCAAGGTTGAGAAACACTGGACTAGAAGACCTTCAAGGTCCCTTCCAGCCCTATGATTCCAGAACTTTCACATACAGATGTTGAATAATTTTCTTTGGCGAAAGAACTGAGAGATAACATATGGGCATGATAACATGCAACACTCCGTCTCTGAAATTGGTGTTTATAAATCGTAGCCCTACATAAATAAAATCAATATCTTATAAGAATAGCAAATTAAAATACAAAGCAGTTTGGTAGGGTTGAAAGGAAAAGCTTCTTCAATGGTGTAGTAGCCCACTAGTGTTGGAACTCAGGTAGAACAATAAGGAGACGTACCTTGGAGAAGAACTTTCTCTTTTAAGGGTGTTCAAGTGGAAAAGAGATGGCGCTAAACACACCGCCAGGTTTGTTGGCGTCATCTGGTTTTCTTTCACGGCAGCTGTGACATCACTCAGAAAATACAGAAGAATCTGTAGGACTTCTCTGTTCTCATCTGGTAGAAGCATAATGGCTGCCTTGATGGCTTGAAGGCGCTGGTCTTTTGGCACATCTGCACAAAATTAGCAGTCTTCCCATCAACTCCTTGATTTTCCACCCATGCAGCATGAATGCATCCCAAAGCAAACTCTTTAACTTTGGCTATTTTTGACTTTAGTCTGAAGCGATTTCCTTTAGCCTGCTGCATACCATTCATGGTAAATGAAAGAATTTTCTTTTTTGTTTTTGGTCAACAGCATAACTGCCCTCAGGTATTTCCTGCTTAGCAAGGGACTCCAGGGTGAAACAAAGCCCCGAATAGTCCAAAGTTAAATTTAGAATTTAATTTTGAGAGCAGCAGAATTGCTAAAAGGGCTTTCACAAATTAGATTGTTCAGTTTATGAACAAACATAGCAACGGATACTTTATCATTAAACCCCATCAACAAGAACTGAAATAAAGGTTTGTGTACACCAGTGAAACATGTTCCTTAACTGGAAAGTCAAGTTAAAATAAGTAGCCCTTAAACTATTCCTGATTTGACCCAACAGAATATTCAGGCTGTGCTTCAAGAAGCAGATAAACTATGACAGAGCAAAGAAAAGAATCTGTAGCTGTACAGCAGAGATGACCGTGACACAATGCTACGGTTACAAGGCACAACAAATACTCCATGCCAGTCATGGCAAACCTTTTAGAGACCGAGTGCCCAAACTGCAACCGAAAACCCACTTATGTATCATCGGGTGCCGGTTGGGCGTAGCCCATTGGGTGGGTGTGGCCCATTAGGTGGGCATGGCCCACATGGTGGGTGTGGCTGCGGTGGTAACGGCAGACTGGGTGGGACTAAAAAGTTCAGTCAATCAATTCCAACTTTGCGAGATCTTTTTTTCCCCCGCGAGAAGTTAAAATCGATTGATTGATTGAACCTTTTTATTTTTTTGCACACAGCGGCGGAGGCCTAAAGCGAAAAGGTTTTATAAAACCCAGCTGAAGGCGTAGGACTGGGGTGACGGCGCGCGTGCCCACAGAGAGGGCTCTGCGTGCCACCTGTGGCATGCGTGCCATAGGTTCGCCACCTCAGCTCTATGCCATACTTTGCCTTGATTTACTGCATAACATTTGATAAAGGGTGGAAGACAAAGCTGATACATTTTGGTCCTGCAAAAGGATGGAACATTAAATTGCACATTTGTTCTGTGGCCAGAGATTCTAAATTAGAGCAGGCAAATTTTATGAGCTTTTATTCTGTCTGGGCCCTTTAAGGAAAGGTGGATATGAGCATCACTGACTTACACTGGTAGATTTGTAAAAAAGTCTCTGAAAGCTTGTTGGTCATGAGAGGTTCTGACAGGTTGCGGAAATACTGTTTGAGCATATCGGCCACGTCATAAGCAGACTGCCCTTCGTAATTCACTTTGCCTATTGCATTCTCGTTCATTTGTCGCAATGCCTGGATTCTTGACTTGACTCCAGATTTTCGGAAAAGGCCAACCTGTGCAACAGAAGAAAAGTGTTCCGTGTGACACAAAACAGGAACCTGTTACCAATAACTCTTTTACCTGTGGGCACTGGGATTAAATTCAGCATCTGATTTTGGTGAATAAACAACAGGCTGTACAGCCCTTTCTATATTTCTTTTACATTAGTTCTGATGTGGAAAATGTCTTGCTGGATTAAAAAGTTAACATGCACAGGCCAGTCTAGAATATTATACTATTAGCTCTTTTTGCTAGGACACCCGAATAGGAGAGGCAAAGTGGATGGTTGACAATAAAACTGTTTCAGGGATTTATTTATTTACTAGCTGTACCCGGCCACGCGTTGCTGTGGCTCAGTCTGGTAAAAGCGTGTGTTGCTTTTACGTCCAACAGATGGCGCTGTTTTTCAAAAAAACATGTTTTTACCTGTCACAGGTGTGACATCTATATAATATAGGTACATAAAAACACGCGCGTATTCGAATGCAACGTTGTGTCAAAATTTCAAAGCAATCGGTGAAGAACTTTCGGAGATTTAAGATTTTGAATAAACCAACATTTACATTTTTATTTATATAGATTGTATGGCATATCATGCATGGAATAGCAATATAAATTAACATTTCAACTCAATTAGTAGAACCCAATAAAATGGGTTATGTGCAGGTAGACCTCGACTTATGACCATAATTGAGTCCAAAATTTCTGTGGTTAAGCGAGACCTTGGTTGTGAGTTTTGCCCCATTTTACAACCTGTCTTGCCTCCGTTATTAAGTGAATTACTGCAGTGGGTCAGTTAGTAACCTGGTTGTTGAGTGAATCTGGCTTCCCCATTAATTTTGCTTGTCAGAAGGTCGCACAAGGTGGTCACATGACTCCGGGACACAGCAACCGTAATAAATATGAACCAGTTGCCAAGCATCTGAATTTTGATCACATGATCATGGGGATGCCAGCAGTTCAAAGAAGCCACCTCTGAGCTGGATGGCAGGCCGACAGCTGAGGAGGTGATGCAGTGGGTCTTGCCGGGAAAAGGAGAGCATGCGAGACTAGGAGGGACGGGACGGGACGGGACAGGAGGGAGGGAAACCAGCCGTGTCGGGATGCATCCGGCCGCGTGGGACCTCGGCGAGTTAGCAGGTGGCTGGTTGAAGAGGGACAGTTGCCATCTCCGGGGCATGGCGCCCGTGCCCACAGAGAGGGCTCTGAGTGCCGCCTCTGGCATGCGTGCCATAGGTTCGCCACCACTGTTCTATACAATTCTAGTAGAGAAACTTAAACAATGCAACCTCAGCACTAACAGGAAGTGAACCTCTGTAACAGTGGAAGATCCCAATCCTAGGTCAGGTTGAAGACACTAACCTGATCCAAACAGTTGTTACGAAGGTATCTCATAGCTTGCTGAATACTCTGCGGAAGTGGTTGTCCGGCACGTTGTACATTAACTATGAGGGGAACGCCAAACACATTTCGATCTTTGTAATCTGGGACTTTTATCCTTTTCATAAACTTTGGCACAGCCCTGTAGAAGATCAGAAATAATTTCATAAACAAAGTCAGTCGCCTGTGTTGCTTTTCTCAAATATGCACCATGTGCTTCTGTTTTCAACTCTTTGTCTGTGGGTTAAAAAAAATGCCAGAAAACAGCCCACATGACTGAGAATAGCAGCACAGAAAACCGGATTAAGGCACTGAAATTTGCAACATTCTGCTATGTTAAGAAAAAGACTTGGGGAAAAAAAAACCCCTTAAAACGTTAAGTGTAATATTAGGGAGAAGAGCCATGAACAGTTCTTAAATATTTTCATAAGTATGGTTGAAGTAATTACTTTATTGGTACAGGTAGTCCTTGACTTACAACAGTTCATTTAGTGACCGTTGGAAGTTACAACAGCACTGAAAAAAGTGACTTATGACCATTAATTTCATTGTGAGTTACACAATGACAATAAAGATATTCTATTCTATTCTTTCCATATTCTATTCTTTCCATATTCTTTCCATATTCTATTCTATTCTATTCTATTCTATTCTATTCCCTATTCTGTCCTATTCTGTTCTATTCTATTCTATTCCGTTCTATTCTATTCTATTCTTTCCATATTCTATTCTATTCTATTCTTTCCATATTCTATTCTATTCTATTCTATTCTATTCTATTCTATTCTATTCTATTCTATTCCCTATTCTATTCTATTCTATTCCCTATTCTATTCTATTCTATTCTAGTCCAGTCCATTCTTTCCATATTCTATTCTATTCTTTCCATATTCTTTCCATATTCTATTCTATTCTATTCTATTCTATTCCGTTCCATTCCATTCCATTCCATTCCATTCCATTCCATTCCCTATTCTATTCTATTCTATTCTATTCTATTCTATTCTATTCTATTCTATTCTATTCTATTCTATTCTCTTTCTATTCTATTCATTTTTTTACAGTTATGACCGTTGCAGCATTCCCATGATCACATGATCAAAATTAAGATGCTTGGGAACTGACTCACGTTTCTGACTGCTGCTGTATCTCAGATCAGGTGATCACTTTTTGCGACCTTGACAATCAAAATCAATAGGAAAGCCAGATTCACTTAACCACCGTGCTACTAATTTAACAACTGCAGTGATTCACTTAACAACTGTGTCAAGAAAGCTCGTAAAATGGGGCAAAAATTCACTTAACAAATGTCTTGCTTAGCAACTGAAAATTGGGGGCTCAGTTGTGGTTGTAAGTCAAGGACTAGCTGTACTTTAATCAGTGCTGTTATTGTTGTTGTTATCTTATATGTGGGTAATCTACACTTAGATTAACAGTAAGACTGATGGAAACTTAAGAATTCAAACCAGCATCTAAGAATACAGGCCGTTCCAAGCGTGATGGTTTTGTTTAAAATTAGGATATTCGGGTCTGATAAATGCAGCATTTTCAGATACTGTGGGAGTCCTTTAGGTATTGCTCTAAAGCAGGGGTGTCAAACTCAATTTCATTGAGGGCCACATCAACCTTGCGGTTGCCCTCAGGGGGGGCGGGTGTGTGTGGCCAGGGTAGGTGCGGCCTACTGGGTGGGCATGGCCAGCTCTACATCGTTCGTGTCAAGGGGGCCTGTGGGGGCCTGGGCAGGAGTGGGACAGATCTGAGGGTCTCTGGCAGAAGGGGGTGGGACCGGAACAAACGCCAAGGCATGGTCCATTTCTTCATTCCTCACAAAGGGTGACACTTCCCCAGCATGCACCCAGGGGGCAGGGCCGATGAGGCAGGGGCTGGTTCCTTGCTGTTTCCAGATGGCCTTGTGGAGCTAAGACTGAATGCGTTTCAGCATAGATGGCCACCACAAAATTGTACATTGGCTCCCGGCCGGCCTGGACCAGGGCCAAGGCAGTGGGGGCCGTTCCCTCACTGTTTCCATGATGGCTTCGCGGGCCACATGAAACCACTTCGCGGGTCGCATCCGGCCCCCGGGCCTTGTTTTGACATGTCTGCTCTAAAGTCTCCAATCATCATCATCATCATGCAATCTATAGTTAGATTCACAATCTAAGACTGGGGTAGAAATTATTATTATTTGCAACAAGGATTTTTCGGATCTGCATTTCCACATCATTTCAATATTGGGCATAGAAACCTTGAAACAACTAAAGAGTCAGCACTTTCTTCCCTTCTTTTCAAAAATTCAGCAGGAGAGCCTTGAAAAAGCAAGCAAATATACGCCTTGCTTGGACCATCACCATCGGAACTAAAGCTATTTGTTCTATTTTCCATCGGTCGACTGTCTTTCCTTTGAAATCCATCCCTTCAGCTTAGAAATAATTTCTAGCCAGTATGCCAATATCAGTACAGACTTTAAAAAAAACCCAAAATCTATTTTGAATTTTGGGGCCACACCAGAACAAATTAACCGGTCACATCAAAAAATGCCTTAAGAGGTAGGCAGAGAATAAATCAATGAATGTAGTAGTAATTACTTAGTTAATCTTCCCTGGCCAATAGGCACAGCAGAACACGAGGGTGGCCGTGACAACACAAATAAGAATCAAATACAAATCTAGCAGCCAATGACCCCTTTATAATCTTGCTTTTTCAGGACCCTCGGGAGAAGACGGACACGTGAACAATGATCTTTTTGTGTACTAAACGATTGGCTTTAGAAAGCCCTCAAACACATTCTACCACCCACCAGCTTGTGTCACAGCAGGAAATTGATGTAATACATGGGTGTTTGCCAGAAATAAACTTCATTTCGACAAATGGCCCTTTTCAGATACAGCCCCCCCCTTGACCTCCCCCAACCTCTTCCTTTCCAACCGCCTCTTCTACCCACTTGAGTAAAAAGGCCTTTCCGTTGGCTTTCAACTATCCAATATATCAGAGCCCTGCTATTTTACTTAATCATTTAAGAATTTTTTAGCGGAGAGCAACAATTCGCAAGACCGGCAGACCTAGGAATGTCAAAAGCCAAAGAAATCCTAACTCAATGGTATGATTATTTTGTAGGTCTATGAATGACTGGTTCACATACGAGCACCCCACCTCATTTATATTTCCACAGTTTGAAAGAGTGTTATTGATACAAGCGTATGCGTAGCTTTCATTTTGTTAAAATACACAGGGGTGGAATGCAAGGGAAAATGAAACAGACACATATTACGATGCCCACTGAGAATCTCAAGCATGCAAACGGCTCAGGGCTTATTTTGGTCAGTCAAGACACACAGCTTCTGAATTTAGCACAGTTCCCATAATAACAGCATTTGAATAGGAAGAGCTTTGATGATGGACTTAAAATACTCAGCCCTAGACAAAAGAGAGGAGGGGAGGAGAAAGAGTCAGCCAGATGTTGAAATAGCAATTACATTCAATACCCCATGAAAAAAAAATATACTTTGTACTTTTTTGGGTGCTACAAATGGAAATTATGAAGTGATTTTTTTTAAACAAACATTTTTCATTTGGAGTGTACTATTTAGCCAGTGGACATGAATGTTTGTATATTCTAATGTAATCCTTAAGGCCAGGCGGTGTCTGTTAAATATTTTAAAAAACCAATTCTTATCCCTTCGGAGACAATGCATTTCCCCACTTTAGCAAAAAAAATCAGTTGGGCTGGATAGGAATCAAGAATTAGCAGTAGATCCTGTTATTTGTAGGTTCTGACTAGTAAACAGTTCCTTACCAGTTGAATCCATGTTTGTTGGAAGGTGTGTATTTCTCCAAGAGTGCAGTTAATTTCAGGAGGGAATACTTCTGCAGCAAGTTCATCTGTGTAACGGACTGACAGTCAATCTGTAAGGCTACTGAACTTAAGCTGGGCCGATGGGAACTCTGGAAGCTGTGCCACCTCATTCTGTGTCTTTAAAAAAGAAAGAAACGACACTGAATGATTTCGAACCACGTAGACGGGTTTAAACAAATGGAGAAGCCGAAGCAACTGAGTGGAATTGTATCCCAATATAGACTTGCCTATGGGGATTATTAAACAATCTTATTATGTCAGAATCTCACATTTCTACGATATTAGATTTTTTTTTATCTATTTGTGCAGAATGTATTATACTAGAGCAGTGGTGGCGAACCTATGGCATACGTGCCAGAGGCGGCACTCGGAGCCCTCTCTGTGGGCACACATACTGTTGCCCCAGCCTCGACTCCCCCCACGACCCCCTCCTCACCAGCAACCCCCCCTGGAGGAGAGTCGCCCCCCAAGTGTGTCCCACACGGAGCAGCACAGCCAAGGACACGGCAGCCAGGCAGCATAGACAAGACTCTGCCCGCACGCCCCATCGTGCACAGTTGATGCTGCGGGGCACGGGCAGAGGGCGTGGCCGCCATGGTGCTGCTGGGTTACCTGGGCGATCTGCGGCGGGTCCTGGAGGTGGTGAGTGGCCCTGCAGGCAGGCGGGGCAGGGGATGGTGGCGGGGCCAGTTTTTGGGCACTCAGTCTCTAAAAGGCTCACCATTACTGTACTAGAGTTTGTTTGAATTGTCAAATGTTTGGATATTTGCTGAGATTTAGACAATGTTTCTACTGTAAGAATTTTATCTGCACAGAACATAATCGCAAAAAATAATTGAGCATTCAATGATAACATAATCAACAATACTAGGCAGCTAAACTACTATACTTGGATAATCTAACTTTTCTTATTCTACAGAAGGTAATTAAGCATTATTCAGTGTCACCCCTAGTATCGGCTCATCCCTTCTTATAGAGTATGTTCTAGCTTAAGGAATGGCAATTGATTTCTGTATAGCTTCTGCAACATAATTGTCAAGCACAAAAATCTTGCAGTCTATAAAAATAACTAGCTGGATTATTTTAGAAAAATCAAAACACTACAGTTGTAATGTAAGAATATATTGCACTATCCTTTATCAAGCCAAAAATATTCTGATGTGAACTGTTTCCAAGTGGATGGCTACTGGCTACATCAACCTGTAGTTTGTCAAGAATATGCCTATTTATTTTCTATTTGGAGAACATTAATACTGAAAACTTTTCTTGATGCCTACGATCACTGCACATTTTAAAATTACATTTGGAAGACATCTCCCATAGAGGAAAGGATGAACAAGCAGATTTCATTGCATTGTTTCAAATTATTCTTTTCCCTGCCTTGTCTGTTTATTTAGTAAATGTGAAAGTTATTTTAAAATTACTTTCCATTTCATAAAGTCCTGAAGTTTCCTTCAAACAAACTTGAGAGTTATGCATGACAGGCTACTTAAGTTGATTCTTGACCTTGAACTTTTTCTACCGTCTGGCATAAAAGGCAGGATAATATTTTTTTCTATGCCCAGCATCCACATTTGATTAATAAATCTGAATATTAAAAATATTTATGCACATATGGATAAATAAGTATACTTTACTCTAACATCTGCTACTCTTCTTAGACTAAAATCTGTCCACTGACCTGTTGGAACGCGTCAGTGATGCCCCCACCCCAGAATCCCTTCTCTCCTGGATTCCTACAGCCTCCTCAGTTTCATTCAGTGAATTTCCTGTGCTGTCAAGATCACTGGGCATGGTTCTGTCATGGTCCACATCTAGCAGGATTTGCTTGGGAGAAGAAGGGCATGGAGAAATAGAGTCTAAAGCTGAATCAGAGTCTCCTTCATCAGAAAATTTCTCTGACCACTGGTTCACAATTTTTTGCATGCCTTTGACGTGATACAGGATGTCGTCAAGTTCAGGAAAGAGATCCTCATTCTCCAGATCAGCCAGATTTCCTGTGCTAGAATATAATATGGAACCTGGCACGTTGTCATAAATGCTGAGGCGACTGCACACTGAGCTGGAGGAGTTGCGTCTCCTTCCTAGGCTCATATCTTTGGAACTGTCAGAACTATTCTCACGCCGGAGAGAAAGATGTCCGTGTCCATGGAAGCTTCCTGTTCTCCAGTTCACCGAACTACTCTTTGGTGGAGCAAAGTTACCATTGGAGAGGGCTTTGGGAAACGTTCCAGGTTTGTGGTCTTCAGGAATGAAAAAGATAGTATCCTCTGCAAAGCTATCCCTGTTTTTAAAGTTTTGTTCCATGACATCGTTAAATGTCGATTGGTTGAAAGGGTCAAAGCCTTCTAGGTACATTCCCACACGCTTATTGTAGGCACCCAGGCTACGTGTCCTCGTGATGGGGCTGGGAGTGCTAACTGCACTGCTGGTCTCGGACTGGCTGCTGCTACTGCTGGTCTGCGTGGAGTTGGAAACGCTTCTTTTGCGAACCATCGGGAAATTGATGTGATTGCCATTGAGAGTGGAGATCTCCACGCAATTAAGTTGCTTTAGTTTCTCTTCATCCATGCCTTCTTGCAAAATTGGGCCACTGATGATCAGGCCAAGCTTTGAAGGAGCTTTACTCTTCCCATGATGAGAGCCTTTTATCTTCAGGCTTTCCATCCTCTTTAGCAGGCCTCTTGTTTTGGATTTGGTGTTCTTCTCGTTGGCTTTCACACCGCAACTGAAACTCGATAGCTCTTTAGTGGTGGGCAGACTGCCCTCATTTTCTACAAGCTTTCCCGAAGAGGTAATGCTAATGACCGAGTTTGTCCTGGAGGTGACTGCATCCTTCTGGGAGGTAGATGGGTGGCTGTTGTTGCTGCTCATACTGTGGATGGAAGCTATCTCATGATGTTCACTCTGCTCCATCAGCACGCTCTCGTGACTGGTTGCACTGCTAAGATGAGCCACTTCTGGGGATGTGGAATTCATATCAAACTTTGGAGAGAAAATGTTAAATTCTTCCAGTCTGGACCACCTCTTGCTGTCTCGCTGGAACATCCACTTTCCACTGATTGCACAAGGCTCATCTTCATCTGAATCCTCACTCTGCAACAAAACAGAGTACAACGAATAAGCTCAATGGTTTGGTAAGGAATTGCAACCAACATGGCTGAGAATTATGGGAAATGATCTCGCTACAAAATTAGGTATACATTTGTTCTTGTGGGTCCTATACTTTCTTGTAAATCAGCTCAGCTAAGAACTAAAGGGATTCATTAGGTTTCACTCCATGAACCATTACTGCACATTTGGTCCCATTTCCAGTCACATCATAAGCCCACCAAGTGGGTGGTTGATTGGGTATTTCGTTTAAAAAAAAGTTATCCAAGTGGTTTTTTAGAAGTCACAATGTCACTGTTTCTCAATCCTTTGTGAACAATTTAAAGGGCCGATCACTGTCTATAAAATACTTAGAAGTTCTCTTCGAATCTGGGTGTGCCTAATCGCACAAACATGTCCTAATTCTTCAGTTCCATCACTGCTTGAAGCCAGGACTCTCCAGATTGAGAAATATCTGAAATGTCTTTCTAAAAATCTTCATCAGAAGCTGCCCCATCCCTATATGATTCCGGGTTAACTAACGATTACTGTAATAAGAACTGTGTCTTTGAAAAAAACATTCAGCAACTGGAACTAAATGCTTCTGGTAAGTATTGACTCAGATAAGGCCATTGGAATTTATCTTGCCTGTTTGTTTGATTTTTTAATATATATTTGTTTATTTCTGGTTTGGGACCTAGATACCTTAGATAATAGTTAAAATTGAATAATCTAGATCAGTGGTGGCGAACCTATGGCACGCGTGCCACAGGTGGCACACAGAGCCCTCTCTGTGGGCACACGCACCGACGCCCCAGTCCTAGGCCTTCAGCTGGGTTTTATAAAACCTTTTCGATTTAAGCTTCCGCCGCTGTGTGCAAAAAAAAGATTTAATCAATCAATCAATCAATTTCAACTTCTCGCAGGAAAAAAAAATCTCGCAAAGTTGGAATTGATTGAACATTTTAGTCCCACCCAATCTGCCGTTACCACCGCAGCCACACCCACCCAATGGGCCATGCCCACCCGGCACCTGATGATACATAAGTGGGTTTTGGGTTGCAGTTTGGGCACTCGGTCTCTAAAAGGTTCGCCATCACTGATCTAGATTCTAGATTATTCAATTTTAACTATTATCTTTATTTGGGCAGAAGAAAACTTTGCTGATGTTCTTTTAACAATTGATGAAAATATGCAAAATAGAACAAAAGTAGGCATCGCCATAACTGCTTCTAAAAGAAAATGCTATTCATCTACCTATTGCCAATTTCTGTAGCCCTTCTGATATTGACATGAATAACAAAACTTCAGACAGGTTTTGGGACCAAACAGTGCCTTAACGATCCTGGTTGTTTCTTATTTTCACGGCCATGAAAGCTAGAATACTCTTTTGTGTAGCCTTGAAAAAAATAAAACAAGCTTATTCAAACCCATATTAGTATTTTTAAAATAAAAACCTGACCAAAGAGGTCGGTTTTTGGCAGGTGAACTTTAACTTTATATTAAAATAATGAACAACACAAACAGACTAATAAAGACTTGAAGGAATTGTCCAAGTGGTGCTATCTCTTGCAGGTGGTTTTAGGATTTCACCGTAAGACGCCAAAGGAGACCGAGTGTGCTTCTATGTCTATTCCAGTGGTTCTCAACCTTTTTAATGCCGTGACCCCAACCGGTCGTAAGTCGAGGACTAAATCGGTAGTAAGTCGAGGACTAAACCGGTTGTAAGTCGAGGACTACCCAACCGGTCGTAAGTCGAGGACTTTCCCTGCCTGGGAGCGCCGCGCATGCGTGGTTCCGCCCCTGCGCTGGCCGAGGCGTAGCTGGCAAGCGGCAGAGACGGAGCAGGCCGACCACCAGCTGGCCCAGCCCAAGGGAGGTAAGGCACCCGCGGGGAAAAAATGGACAAAAAAAATGGCGGACAGCCTTGCTTGGCGACCCCCGTGAAATGGTCGATCGACCCCAAATGGGGTCCCGACCCACAGGTTGAGAACCACTGGTCTATACATATAGATGTGGCTTACAAAAGCATTTTCAGGGTCATTCCCATCAATAATTTACAAATGTTGCAATAGTTTTTGTCAAATATACTTACCCGTTTCCTATGTGGGCTGATTTCTAGTTTCATCATTGCACACTTGTTTAAAGTATTTAAACGCCTACGGAAGAAAATAAAAATAAAATAAAACAAACAAGATTAACATAAATATTTCGTTCTGGGCTACCTGCTCTTCCGACCAAAGGGATTATTTGCAAAAGCTCTCGCTAAGCTTATTTACACAGAAACTAGGGAGAGAAGAACCTAAAAAATAAAAATAAATAACACTTCTGTTTAATTAACTCCACGCTACATCAGCTGGATATCAGATTTTGCAGAATGGGTGAGACGGAGAAGCAAAAACAGAAGCACCTTTACTACATCAGCTCCTTGTGAATCAAAACCATAAAGGAGAACTTGTTCAACCAGAAGTCATTAAATTGGAACAGCTACAATGCAAGCAATACAAGGTTCTTGTCCACATTGTGGAAAACTACCAGTACTTTTTAGTACTTTTAGGGACAGAAAGCCTCAGGAATGCTGAACTTGATATTCACGATGATAGTAAATCACTTCCCAATAAGCAACCCGCTTTTGTATAGTACTAAGTGGAATGGAAATAGAATGACACTGAATTTCAAGGCACATCAGGAATTGCTATTGCTATTTAACCAACAGAAATTCAGTCCCCTAAGGATTTTATTTCCATTGAGCTATTCTAGATCAGCACGCCATCACACGGAGAAGACCACACAATTTATTTTACAGGGCCACAGATACAACTGATCTGCACTGCTTTAATTTTAGGAACCCTCTTTTTCTTCACTCCAGAAGAAAGAAAGCTAGAGGGATACTAGATTCTGGAAGTAGTAGTAGTTGAGTAGCTCACTGTTACATACAATTCCATATTTGGTTGTGTATTTGACATGAACCATGTGCTGGATTATATACTGAATCATCAAGAAAATAAAATATTTTCTAACAACTAAAGAGTAGCTAAAGGTTCCTTTGTTAACTGAAATCTCAAAATACCAAAATTATAACTTATCATCAGTATGATTTTTTGTTTACATATAATGACTTGCTGGCAAGGCAAAGACATGATTTTTTTTTTTCTGGTCACATCACACAGTAAGGAAATACTTGCAATCATGCCTCATGAGTGTGGCACAGGTCACAAGCTGGCTTTCATTGTCTGTCCTATTTTCAATGGTGAAAAAAGTAAAGTTCTATATTTAGGCAAGAAAAACCAAATGTACAGGAATAGTATAGGCGGTACCTTGCTCAACAGTAGTAACTGTGAGAGGGATCTCGGAGTCCTAGTGGACAATCACTTAAATATGAGCCAGCAGTGTGCTGCAGCTGCCAAAAAAGCCAACACAGTGCTGGGCTGCATTAACAGAGGGATAGAATCAAGGTCACGTGAAGTATTAATACCACTTTACAATGCCTTGGTAAGGCCACACTTGGAATACTGCATCCAGTTTTGGTCACCATGATGTAAAAAAGATGTTGAGACTCTAGAAAGAGTACAGAGAAGAGCAACAAAGATGATTAGGAGACTGGAGGCTAAAACATATAAGGAATGGTTGCTGGAATTGAGTATGTCTAGTTTAATGAACAGAAGGACAAGGGGGGGATATGATAGCAGTGTTCCAGTATCTCAGGGGCTGCCACAAAGAAGAGGGAGTCAAGCTATTCACCAAAGCACCTGAAGGCAGGACAAGAAGCAACGGATGGAAGCTAATCAAGGAGAGAAGCAACCTAGAACTAAGGAGAAACTTCCTGACAATTAGAACAATTAACCAGTGGAACAACCTGCCTCCAGAAGTGGTGAATGCTCCAACACTGGAAGTTTTTAAGAAGAGACTGGACAGCCCTTTGTCTGAAATGGTATAGGGTTTCCTGCCTGAGCAGGGTTGGACTAGATGACCTCCAAGGTCCCTTACAATTTTATTACTACTACTACTACTGCTGCTGCTGCTGCTGCTACTACTACTACTACTACTACTATAACAAAACTCAAAGAGGAAAACTCATTTTCTAGACATCAGGCATCCATATTGCTTTTTATATGTGTATTACATCGTCTAATATAATTGTTTTAAAAAAGGATAGTCCCAGGATACTTCTGCTAATTTCTCAAAAGAAAAGAAAGCAAATCCATCCCACCTGCCCGAAGATTGGTCATTTTTCTCATATCAATTTACAGCATATATGCAGCTGTTATGTTTCTATCTCTGTGTTATCTCTGCATGTTAACTCTCTTGAGATAGGACACTGGATTTAAAAAAAAAATACTGGAGTTGTTTATTTAAATATGTATTTCTGGAGATCGTAACTTAAAAGGTAGGACACACACACACACACACACACACACACACACACACACACACACACACACATTCCACGTGTATGTGAACGATATTATTTCCTAGAGCAACTATTAAACAAAACATGGTTAATCTTAATTTTGATTTATAAGGAAAAAAAGCAATCTGGTAAAAATAGTTTAGATTGGCCTTTTTCTCTAAACAACATTTAGATGAATCACAGATTGAGTTCAGACAGAATGAATAGCTGTGGTTAATAATAAATAAAAGCAAAAGCTTTTGGATTTTTTTCTCGCCACCGCAAAATAGCCTAGCAAAAGTCCTAAATAGGCCAGGAACTTGACACACCATCAAAGATGTCATTATTCCAAGTATTATATTACATTTTACACTTGACTCACCTTCTATCTAGAAAAATACTATTATTTTATATTGTTATTGTTATTGTTGCCACTACAAGCAGTCATCAATTAACAACCACTCATTCGGTGACCTTTTGAAGGTATTTATGGCTTGGAATAATGGCATCTTTGATGGGGTGTAAAGTCCCTGGCCTATTTAGAACTTTGTGCTAAACTATTTTGCAGTGACGGGAAAAAAAATTCAAAAGCTTTTGCTTTTATTTATTATTAACCACATCTGTTCATTTTGTCTGAACCCAATCTGTGATTCACCTGTTATTTGGAGAAAAAGGCCAATCTAAATTATTCTTATCAGATTGCTTTTTTTTTCAATAAATCAAAATCGCTCCTGTCACTTTTGGTCCCAAGGAGCTCCACTATGCACTTTGCGCTTGTTTGCAGCAGCACCTTCTCTCCCCAGCCCACAATACTTGCACCATCCCACATGCACTTGCCGCAATAGTTCCCTCCCCCATTCACTCCATAGCACTTCCTGCCACCTGCCTGCTTGTAAGCTGCCCAAGCTGACTTGCGAATCCCTGTTAGCTTTTCCAGTGACTTTGTGGAAAGCCAGCAGGAAATTGCAAGTTGCGGTAAAGTGAGGTATTTGCTTAAAGACAAGAACAGGAATTGGGGAGATTGTCGACACGAAGCAATGGGGTCGCATGATGTTGTGCTTTACAATAGCATTGTTTAGCAATGGAAATTCTGGTCCCAATTACTGTCGTTAAACAAGGACTATCTGCACTGCTATTCTTTGTCTGAACCCGAAGGCTTCATTTGAGCTGCTAAAAAGGTTCTGTATATACCAGTGATGGCGAACCTTTTAGAGACCGAGTGCCCAAACCACAACCCAAAACTCACTTATTTATCGCAAAGTGCCAGAGCCACATCAGCATTGTGGTGCCCTCAGGGGGGGCATGGGGGTGTGGCCCACTCGGTGAGCATGGATGCAGTTGTCACTGCAGACTGGGTGGGTGTGGCTGGGGTGGGCATGGCCATCTTGATTTTGCTCATGGGGGGGACGCCTGTGGGGGTTGGGACGCCTGTGTAGGTTGCTCATGGGGGGGACGCTCATGGGGGGGACGCCTGTGTAGGTTGGGGGAGATCCAGGGGATCTCTGGCAGGTGGGGCGGTGGGCAAGAGGCCCAGCATAGATGGGGGAGGCACACAATCCTAGCTGGGACTGGGGGACCATGGCGCTGATGGGGATCCGGCTTTCCCTGCTCAGGGTGGCCTTTGACTTGCTGGGTGTGGGCGTGCTCTACCACCTCTATTTGAACTTTCTAGTTGGCCACTTCGCCTCCTTTGTGCTGGGTGGGGCTGCTGCTCCGGACGGCAGTGGCGGCCTAATGGAGCTGCACAAGCTGCTGGCAGCGGCAGCGCGTGTGCCCACAGAGAGGGCTCTGAGTGCCGCCTCTGGCACGCGTGCCATAGGTTCGCCACCACTGGTATATATTGTACACCAGGAGCTCTATTCAAAAAAAAAAGCAAGCAAACAAGAAAAAGGCAGAGCCCTCACATCAAATTATGGATTTAATTTAGTTGCAATTGAAGGAAAAGTAGAGTAATTAAATATAGCCAATACTATATGAATTTAATAGTCTTCCGCTGCCACCTTTTCATCAATGGCAGTAGCTGCTTGGAAGGTGCCCTGGCTACACGTGGCCTTTGCACACTTGTGTTGTTAAATGTCAAGGCAACAATCCAATCCAATAGCCTCCTGTGTCATTTTCACATTCTTACTTCAAATAGCAGCTGTCAGGTAAGAATTGGGTCTTGTTGTTGTTGCGAAGTCATGTCCAACCCATCGCGACACCATGGACAATGTTCCTCCAGGCCTTCCTGTTCTCTACCATCTTCTGGAGTCCATTGAAGCTCACGCCTACTGCTTCAGTAACCCCATCCAGTCACCTCATTCTCTGTCGTCCCCTTCTTCTATTGCCCTCAATCTTTCCCAGCAGTAGGCTCTTCTCCAGTGACTCCTTCCTTCTCATTAGGTGGCCAAAGTACTTGAGTTTCAACTTCAGGATCTGGCCTTCTAAAGAGCAGTCAGGGTTGGCCTCCTCTAGAACTGACCGGTTTGATTGCCTTGCAGTCCAGGAGACTCGCAGGAGTCTTCTCCAGCACCTCAAAGGCCTCAATTATTTTGCGTTCAGCCTTTCTTATGGTCCAGCTTTCACAGCCATACATTGGGTCTTAATAACACTAAAAAAGATATTATAAACTCCCTGCAGCAAATATATAAAGCTCTAATACAAGGATAATACAGGTAGTCCTCGACTTACAATTTGTTTAGTGACTGTTCAAAGTTACAATGGCACTGAAAAAAGTGACTTATGACCGTTTTTGTCACATGACTGTTGCAGCATCCCCATGGTCACGTG